CGGCTGTGCATTGTAAGAAAATTGTAATTAAAGTGCTTTGTCTGTGTGTTGTAGCAAAACCAAGCTGTTCAGTTCCCAACAGCCCCCAGCCAGAGAACACCGAGAGCCCGAGAGACAGCCCGATTAGCAGTGCAACATCTGGAGCTCAGAGTCCAGGTAATGGAAGTCACACATGACTGCTCAAGGTTTTTGTAGTCTTTAAAGATATACTGAAGAAAATCAGGAGTTCTGAAACAAGCTTTTTCTTAGCTTTACAAAAAAAAATGATGGCGAAAAAAGCTCAATGCCTTTTTTCAGTTTTTTTGTTGCATCATCCTCTCCTCCTCCTAATTGGCTATTGTCGAGACCTCGTGTGTTGGCCAGCCTTTTTAATTGATTTTATTTTGTTTTATCTTCCAGGTGCTGATGCAGCTGCAGAGTCAGAGCTGCTGTGTCTGTCGTCTCCAGTGGACCTGCTGTGTGGCCCTGTTCCATCCTGCCTACCGTCGCCTCAGCTTCACCCCGACCCCGTTGTCGTCCAGCAGGCGGATCTGATTCACTTTGAGGAGAGAACTCCTCCACTACCAACAGGTGGTCCATCTGATTTATACAGTTTTTGTGGTATAAAATTAAAAGGCTCAGTCTTATTTGCACCTTTTCCATCTGTAGTTAAGTGTGAGCTTGTTTGTTTGTATTGTTTGAACATGTGGTGGCCCTGGCAGACGTCACAGCTGATCTACCTGCAAAGCGTGATGGCAGCACAGATGACTCTGCAGACCCCAGAGAACCACCACCACCTGACACAAAGACCCTCCTGTCCATGGACAGTCCCAGCAGAAGAGCTTCACGTAGTAGAATCAAATTAGCAGCCAACTTCTCATTCACAGCAGGCCTCTGATCCTCTCATATATACACATACAGTCTCACATACAGCAATACAAGTTTACATACAGTGTAACTCTAAATAAAAGAGTTGAACGGCTACACTAAACACATAACACAGAAGAGCATTGGTCTTGACCCTTTATGTCCTAACAGGCTGTTGCATTCTTCGTCATCACATTTGTGCCATTTTAGTTTGTTTCTGGTTTGTTTTTTCAGTTCAGTCTTCTAAGTTCACCAAACTGATTTGCTTCTTGCAGACTTTCTGCAATTCTCTGATTTGCCAAATGTCATCTGCTCTAACGTGTGTTTAGTTTCCTCCCAAGGGCAATTAATATCCATGACTGTGCATTTTCAGTTTAGAGCCATATTGTGTCGAACACTTTCAGTGAATGAGCTGAGTTTGTTGTCACTGTGAACAAAGTGGTAGAAAACAATGGGAGAAATGCTAGGGATGAGTAACTAGGTTTTCTGTATTACATCAAAGAAGTGTAGGTATTCACTGTTTACAAAAATACACGACAGAAGGTTTTTAAAGAGATTTTTGTTGATGAACCACATTGAGAAACCTTCATAAATACTTCCTTGCTTTATCTCCAAGATATAAAATTTCATTTAGAACTTTCTTTGTAGCTAACCCCAGATATGTTGACCCAAACTAGCAGCTGAAGCATCCACCTGTTTCTTTCAGGTTTCTAAAGAAATTGCTTTTTAATCAGGTATTCTTCTGTATTTTGTCTGTGTAATGAAGTAGCCTCAGCATAGTGTTTTCAGTTCCTTTTTGTACTGTGTAGAGTATTTGGTCACCGGTAGAAGAG